ATGATAAACAATCATTAGGTATACTCCCAGGAAAGTTGGTCGATATGAGACTTGGTTAAATACCAACTCCTTAGACAGAATAGCGTCGCAAGGGGACTAGTAGCAACAAGGCTTTTAAGCCAGGGCCATAGAACTAGTATTCCTCCCCAAGAAACTTCCCTAAGTCATGCATTTTCATATTTGAAGTAAAATCGTTTGGAAGATCTATAAGATGTGATACACCTATTGATAAGGCTTTAAATAGGGTAACTATGAATTTTTATGTACTTTATGTGCTTTAAGAACGTTAAGAAAGCACGAATGGAGTAATAAATGAAGAATAATATTGATATGCGCAATCTATTCCTTATAAGGCACTCAATTCACCTAAAAGGCACTAAATCATGCATTAAAGACATTTAAATCATACCTAAAAGGCTCTAAATTTTTCCTTAAAAGAGCATGCATTTCTAAAGACATAATTATAATAGTAAAATAATTATGGCAATAAACATATAAGGCATACTTAGAGTATGCATATCAATTACTCATACTCCATAAATAAATTATAAAACTTAATACAATTTAAATTTGAAAATTCAATATTAAATTAATATTCAAACAAATTCAACACTTAATAATTTGTTCAAAATTTGAATAATAGTTTAATACTGAATTTAGGCAAAATCAATTAGACAATTTTAATAAGAAGAAGTCTAAATATGATGAACAAATAATGCTTAAGCAAGCCCAAACCAAACAGGTCCAGATTTAATTTAAAATTATTTTTTTTTAGTAGAGGCCCAGGTCTGGCAGAATTGGGTCAGACCCGGCCCAAACTATTAAACCCATCTTCATTCATCATCTTCTTCATTCTGCAACGCAGCAGCGATGGAGATCGACGAACAGGAGTTAAGGGTCGCCGGCGTCGCCACAAGGAGAACGGACAACGGCAACGTCGCCGGGAAGCCCAGCGCCACCACCGCCCTCGATGCAACACCAGCGCCATCGACCGCCATCTGCCGTCCGTAGCCACGACGCAAAATGGCCACTGCCGCGATAGATCCTTGAGGCCGTGGATCCGTCTCCATCACCGAAAAAGAAGCTCCATGTATGACGGCAACAATGGCTGCCGGTGAGCTCCTGATCCGGCGAAGCAGTAGGGAGCAAATTAAATATCCATTATTTTTAATAAAATCTAATTGATTTTATAAAAAAAAAAATAGACTTAATGCGGAAAAAAAACATCCAGCAGTCCAAACAATTGCATATAATTATTCATGTAATAATATACAACATATGCAATTAAAACACTTAATGCTAGGCAGAGGTAAAGCAGACTCTTGATACCAACTGTAAGCAAATAAATCACGTAGGAACATAAATACGTGATAAGATCTTATTAAAGTACTAAGTACTAACCTCTAGCCAGAGCTTCCGATTGATGATGATTGAGTAGTCACGGGACTTCTGCGGCAGAGTAACAGTATATGTTTCTCTCACTTTCTCAACCCTCTCTGGATGGTGTATGAGGAATGAATGTTAAGCAGTGAGAGGACTAGAGGGCTCTTTATAACCATATGCCATCAATATGGTAACTGAATCCCTTCCTAATCATACTCTTTATCTTTATAATCAAGAATTACCTTAATTATTAGAAGGAGTAAAAGACAATTTTGGTCCTAGACTTATAGTGCCCCGGACAATTTTAGTCCACTATAAAAAAATCAGACAATTTGTGGACACTCTTATTGTGACGAGGACAATTTTGGTCCTCTGTCTATATTTCTGTTAAGTAGCCGTCTAAGAGGAGGGCAATTGCGTCAATTCACCCTATCTTCTTCTCCCATCTTCTTTCTCCGCTGCTCAGAACCAAGGTGCGTGTTCGTCTTCGTCATCGTACCAACCATTTATTTTTTAAATTTATTATTATTGTTTTTTTGTTGCCTATGTTTACAGATCGTTTATTTTATATTCGTTGTTGAATCCCTAATGTGCTAGTACATATAATGGAGATTGGATTTGTGATATAGCTGATATCATTTCAACTATAGATATTATTTTGGATCGTGTTGATTTTTGTGTATTTGGGTTCTCTTTTCTTTTTTAAACTATGATTTTTTTCCAACTTAATGATTCTGAGAACGAATGGGTGTAAGATAGTTGGGTAAGGAGCATTTTCTGTCATTAGGAGTTGTCTGTTGGGCAAGTGAGGTTTATCAATTGCGTGATTCATACAATGATTGTAAATCACAGATTATGAGCTGATTGTCTATTATGCTCTGCAATTTGGAGGTTGTAATAAAGATGATTGGACCACATGTTTATGTTTATGTTTATTAGAATATGGGTAGTTTGTTTTGACTGTGGATTCGACATGGAGTGTCTTTTGTAGCTTATCCGTTAGGTAAGGTCCTCTTTTTGTTTAACATAGTTAACACGATGGCCATCTGAGACGAAGAAGAATACGCAACTTGGTTCTGAGCAGCGGAAAGTGTGGCGTGAAGACATTGTCGACTCGGAGCATCCCGACGAGGGAGAGGAGGAGGAAGATCGCGGAGGAGACACATACAGGATCTGGGGAAACTCATTCGTGGCTGTCTGGGGATGAACACGGCCAAGATGTTTCAGGCTGGAAGGTTGGGGAAGAAGATAGGGTGAATTGACGCAATTACCCTCCTCTTAGACAGCCATCTAACAGAAATATAGACGGAGGACTAAAATTGTCCTCGTCACAATAAGAGTGTCCACAAATTGTCTGATTTTTTTATAAAGGACTAAAATTGTCCGTGCCACTATAAGTCTAGGACCAAAATTGTCTTTTACTCTTATTAGAAGTATGTATGGAAGAGTTGCACCACATAACAGATTACCTTAATTATTATAAGGTTAACCTAATATTATAATAATGTAATCTGGGAAAACTTTACATTGTGAGGTCGAACACTAACGATGGAAGGGGATTACCCGGCCTCCTTAACTGCTATGCGGTTGACGTAATTGGACTGTTCCTCAGTGGTCGCTTTGATTACTGATGTACTACGCACTTCTCTGTTTTCGATAACTCCGGAAACTTGATTAAAGGAGCAGAGTATTCCACAAGGTCAGGGAAGACCACGATCGAGGATTTGAAACTTTGAATAACTTGCTTAACATGGTGACTTAGTCGCTCGGTTATAGGTACACTAAGCAAGAGCTCGGTTACCGGATTGGAAGTCTCTATTCGAGCAAATATTTGCACGTTAAACTGAAGGAGCTTCAGCTGCTTGGCGATATTCGGGCTCGTCTTCGGTCATGTCGTCTGATCAACCGGAATTCTGCTACTGTAGTGGGCTCTTAAATGATGAGCCAGGTGTCTGTGCTCAATGATGACAACCGGCTTCTGGCCGGTCGGTGAGGCTGAAAGCTGAGATATTCATGCACTGAGATGTTCTTGCATGCCCTTAATTCCTTCCAAATGATACGAGTCCGGGAGTGCATTCATCTTAGTAGGCGCGATCGGAATCGAACTAGGAGAACCGGACAGGTGCACATCTTTTTTTTTTCCTCCACCCATGCAAGCAAGGGATATTTAAACAATGTCCCATAAGCTTTGCTATTTTCCTTCCTTTTGCTCTATATCACCGCCAGCTGCAACCAATGAGAGTGCATGCATGCACTTTTCAATTTTTATTTTCTTTTCTTCTTGCACTATCTTGGTTATCACGTTCCATCGCTGCATGCACCAATCAACTTATTTTCTTTTTTCCCTTTCTTTTGCCTTTCTCATTTATGCTGCCACTATCTCCTTGTTATTACCCCTTCACCCCCACTTTCAACCGGGGTTGTCTACAGCTAGCAACCCAGGAGAAAATACACAAACGATGAAGGAGCACTGGTAAACTGCTAGCATGGCGTTCTTTAAAGTGGCGAAGGGGAGGAGATGGCGATGCCGAGGCGTCCCTGTGAGTTGTTCAGTGAGAAACGCCTTCTCTTCAAGAGTGTTCGTCGTGAGTTGCAAAGCTATATATTGTGGAGAACTCAATTATTCATGAGTGTAAAGTGGTAATCAGAGAAAGGAAGATGGTGTGCATTATTGATGATCTGAGGAGAATACAAAACTTAGCAAAGAAAAGGAAAGATAGCTACTGTTATATACAAACTGCTATGGCAGTTATAACAGAAAAGGAAAGAGGAGAAAAGACAATAAGGTCCTCCTTGATAGAAGGCAGCTCAGTGTGCTAAGTATGCCTCATCACCCCCTCCCCCTCCCCCCCCCCCCCCCCCCCCCCGTAAGCTGGAGCATGAACATCTTGAAGGCCCAGCTTAGAGTGGAAGTTATCAAACAACAATATAGGTAGTGCCTTGGTGAAACCATCAGCAAGCTGTTTTTGTGAGGGACAACATGACAATCTATCTCAATATGTTTAGTCCTTTCATGAAAGACATGATTCTCTCCAATAGCAATTGCAGACTTGTTATCACAAAATAGAGTAGTGGGGCTGTTAGGCTTGACTTTCAGATCTGCAAGCAAATATAAGAGCCATTGGACCTCACAAACAGTGGATGCAAGGGCCCTATACTCAGCCTCAGAAGATGATCTAGAGACAGTAGCTTATTTCTTTGTTTTCCAAGAGATTAAGGACTTGCCAAGATAAATGCAATAGCCTGTGACAGATTTTCTGGTTTCAGCACAAGTGGCCCAATCAGAGTCAGAGAACCCTTGTAGCTTTATTTGAGAGTTTGCTGGATAAAATATCCCTTTTCCAGGAGCCCCTTTCAAGTACCTCAACACTCAGTGAGCAGCCATAAGATGAGTGTTCCTAGGCTTGTCAACATACTGACTCAACTGCTGAACTGCATATGTGATTTCAGGCCTGGTATTTGTCAAGTATAATAGCTTCCCAACAAGTCTTCTATAAACTTCTGGCTTATCAAGTGATGTTCCCTCAAGAGAATTGAGTTTCTGGCCTGCAGTAATTGGAGTCTTTGCAGGTTTAGCATCCATGAAGCCATACTCCTTTAGGATTTCCAAAGTGTATTTTCTTTGGCAAATGTTGAGACCATCAGTGGATCTGAATGCTTCAATCCCCAGAAAGTAATTCAAATGACCAAGATCTTTGATCTTGAATGTCTTATCCAAGAACTGTTTCAATCTATTAATCTCTGCTGAGTCTGTCCCTGCAACCAATATATCATCTACATATATGAGAAGAACCATAAATTAAGTGTCTGAGGTTTTGGTAAAAAGGGATGGATCAACTGTGGACTGTTGGAAACCATTATCTTGCAAAGCCTTAGTCAATTTTGCATTCCATTGTCTGCTAGCCTGCTTTAGGCCATATAAAGATCTCAGCAACTTACAAACTTGCTGCTTGTTATTTTGAAAGCCAGGGGGTGAAACCATGTATACTTCTTCATCTAAATCTCCATGCAAAAAAGCATTATTGATGTCTAATTGTTGGATGTCCCAGTCTTTTGCAATTGCCACAGTTAGGAAAGTTCTAATTGTTGTCATTCTAGCCACAGGAGAAAAAGTTTCCACATAGTCCACTCCAAGCTGCTGAGTGTAACCCTTTGCCACCAATCTGGCCTTGTGTCTTTCTATGGAGCCATCAGCTCTATGTTTCACCTTGTACACCCATTTGCAACCAATTGGGGTTTCGCCTGGAGGTAGGTTTATCAACACCCAAGTTTTGTTTTCAACCAATGCATCTATTTCACACTGCATTGCTTTCCTCCATGCCTCTTCTTTAACAGCTTCATTGTATGATTGTGGCTCTTGTGTGTTCAAAATGGAGGTTGCACAGACCCTATGGCATGGGGATAGACCCTCATATGATATCACCTTGTTAATAGAGTGTGGTGATGACCTGCTGTGGTGACTGCCTGTACTCAGTGAATGACAATAGTAATCTTGTAACCTTGCAGGTATGTGTCTTGTTCTTTCTGATCTTCTTGGTTCTAAGAGTTCATCTGTTTGAACTACTTCATCTTGTATCATTGTGTTATCACCTGCCTCATTGGACAATTCATTGTTTGTGCTGACATGAGTATCCATACTGTCAGTATTGTAGGATGAAGGACTTGACCTGCTAACCCTTTCTGGTGGTTCAGTGTTGTGGATTGGGGGACTAGGAGTGACAGCCTCTCCTAGTATTTGATTCTGATTGGCAGTAGTATCCAAATGTGGCATGCTAACCTCAATGGAGACTGGGACCAAAGGCAGCACAGGATCAAACATGTTCTTTTCACCATAGGCTTCAGATTTGTCCTCCTTAAAAGGATAAATGTGCTCATAAAACTGAACATCCCTGGAGATAAAAACATTTTTGTTAGCAATGTCATATAACACATAGCCCTTTACATTTGCAGGGACCCCCAGGAATAGACACTTCTTGGCTCTTGGCTCAATTTTACTTCTGCCATGAAACATAGTGGAACCAAAACATAGGCAACCAAAAGCTTTGAGGTGATGATATTCCACAGTTCTGCCAAACAACAATTCAAAGGGGGACTTCTCACCAGGTTTAGCAGGAGGCAATCTGTTAATTAGGTAGATGGAATGCATAACACAATGATTCCAAAATTCCATAGGCACTCTAGATTGAAATCTGAGAGCCCTGGCTACATTCAAGATATTTTGGTGCTTTCTTTCTGCCACCCCATTTTGTTGGGGTGTATAGACACAAGATTTTTGATGCACAATTCCTATCTCATTGCAAAAATCATTCATTAGAAACTCAGTTCCATTATCTGTCCTTATGACCTTAACTTTAGCAGAAAACTGATTCTGTACATAGTTACAGAAATTCTTGAACAAGTGTTTTACCTCTGATTTATTTCTCATGAGATGCAACCAAGTGAATCTACTATAGTTGTAACACCCCGGATTTTCAAGACTTTTAAAACTTATATAATAAAGGTAAATTCTCATTAAATCCCAAACAGAGCAGTTCTAAACATAAGAATACGGGGTGCTATGCCACATCTGAGCTGGAGAACTCAGATGCACAGGCTAAACTAACTAATATCCTCAATACATCATTATGGCACGCAGGCCGAAAAAAAAGACTATCTATCTAATCCGCGATCTTCTAGCGCACTCTGGGATCTACTCATCTGTGCCTGAAAGCCAAATATATCTGTTCAGCGAGAGATGCCCATTCGCTGATTAATCCAAAACACCATCAACGGAACCTGTGAATCAAATCGGACTTTTCACTAAATAATCGAGCTATAAATTAATTAAACCCTAAGGGATTCAAACCCTAGATTTCTCCTAACACCAACTATGTCTTACCCAACTAAGCTAACTCACCCATTTTTAACATGAAACCCACATGAAACCCAAATCAATCATCTACCCACCGTGTAAGTAATATAACCTAGTATTAATCCTATGGGATAACAGTACAATAGGGAGATTGGTACTAGTCGGCAAATCATCACCGTCCCTAAGCGTATTAATCGCCCCATAATTATACCCAAAATATGATAAGCATATACAACCAACACATGCCAACGAGATTCAAACCCTAGCCAAACCATTAGCTGAACCAGCGCCTTACCACTAGACTAAGCCCTCAATTGTTACTTCTTACTTAAATCTAATATTTAATAGCTATGTTGGCGTGAGTCTGTAACTTACCTTCGTCTTCTTCCCCGATCTGTTTCGCCGAGGGACAGCGGTTGTCCCACGGGCGCACCTCCTCCGGCCAGCCACCCACTGCCTCCGTGCTAGTATGTTTGCTGGGGGGAGGAGGGTCGCAGTCGTAGCCGGAGGACGTTCGAAGGGGGAGAGCCACCGTCGCGTAAGTCCGCCGTCGCCGTTGTCGAGCCGTTCGCACTGCATATCGTTGTATCAAGGTCGTTCGTCCGTAATGGAGGGTTGAGGGAGAGGGGTTCATGGTTTAGAGCTTAGGGAAGGATTGGGGCTGGTGGTTGCCGCCATGGTGAGGGCGGTGGTGCGGTGAGGGTTCGCCGGTGTTGTCTGAGAGAGAGAGGGAGCGATATGTGAAGGGGGTGGGTGTTCGGGGTCCATGCCGTACGTATGTATTCGTTAAGCCCTTAGTATAAATGCGTGTACTAGGTATGATTGGGGTAGGAGTAGTATATACATGTATTTATATACATGTATATATATATATATGCGTACGTTTAATCCTATTCGTATACGTATATATATATATATTGTTACTATTATTATTATTATTATTATTATTATTATTATTATTATTATTATGATTAGGTTTCCTAAATGGACTTGGGTTAGGTGGGTCAAGATTAAATACGTTTGGGCTTGGGCTACTTAATACTTATTGGGCATATATGATATAAGTATATATCCTATGTATATATATATTTGGGCCCAGGATTTGGGTATTTAATATCATAGCTTATATACTAATTATCCCTAGTAATATATTTAGACTTTAGGGTCTTTATTATAGGCAAGGGTACATGGTCCTCTGTGGGCCACCTTAATCAATTAATGGAGATTAATTCCCTATTAACTGTTCTTGGCGGAATTAATTATATAATTCCCCCCCTTACAAGAAGCTTCGTCCTCGAAGCTTAGAAATTATTTTGGGATAGAGGGCCAGAAATGGTATGGTGGTCATGAGGGAACACCTTCTACGGGGAAGTATACGTAAACATCTACCTACGTACCCTAGGTCCTGGGAGTGGTGTGGTTTAAGAGGATAATGAGGGTGAAGGCTTTAGGTTTCAAACTCGAGGGCAGGGTTAGTTAGGAATGAGATCAAGGTTTTCAAAGTTGCGACCTTAGGAAATAAGGTTGCCACCTTGTAAGGAATCATTTGCGCTAAGGTGTCAAGAATGAGTTTCGGTAGGGTAGGATGGGTTTCTCAACAAAACGAGATTCGGTAGATAAGGAAAGGGGATGAATTCTGCCAGAATAGGGCTAAGGACTCTCGGCTTCGAGCGATTATTCCCGTTTGAAGCTCGATTGTGACAATAAGACGAACTGATGATCCTTTTCCTTTAGTTTTGGCTTCGTCTTGACTCTAAGATTCTCGTTGATCTTTTCTTCCCTGTTGAAGTCTCCTCCATCTTTATTGCTTTCGAAGGAATTCTCGTGATGAATTCTGTGTATAATCCCTAGAATGCTGTGGACCTAGTTGGTTGGCATGGCTGATCTCCAAGTCTTGAATCTTAATTTCTGTTGCGGGCTCCTAAGAGTCACAGGATTTCGGGTTGACTTCCTTGTTTTATTGAGTTTCATCCCTTCCTTGGCGGATGAAATTCTTAACAAGACTTTATGTCCTCCTTGAAGTTCGGCTTGCTGCACCTTTTTGGTGATATTTTCTGTAGTGAGGGCACTTGACACACTTTTCTCTTTCTTGGAACGCATTTGTTCGCCTGTCCTTGTCATCGCATGGCGTTCTTTGGTGACGCACGTACTTGTTATGGTCTCTTGTGAAGCCATCACGGCTTTCGTGCAAAGATGAGATTTTCACTACAGTGGTGTTTATTGCACGATACCTTCCACGCATTCGTAACTTCCACCTAATCCGCCGATCCCCATCTAACAACTATTTTAATATCGAATCAACGAACCCCAGCTCTCACGTCTCTGGGCAGAGTAAGGGTTTTATACTACTCTAAGGGTCTTAACAGGGTTTCCAAGGATGGGAATATAAACTTAGAGCGATGGCGATGATTCCAATGCTCTTAACAACTTAGGGTTTCCGAGGGCTCAAGTTAGGCGCAACAAAGGGTGAGCAAGGCGTAACGGTTGTGACTGCTTTCAAGAATAATTAAGGATTCGGGGTGGGAGTTTTCAACAAATAGGGATATCGAGACGATGGGATTCCGGGGCGGTCGATGATAAACTAAGGTAAAGGGGTCACACGACATTGTGATATACTTACCTTTCATCAAGAACTTAACTTAGCAGTGTCGTCCATCCGCTACTTCACTTTCTTGTATTATTTAGCGTTCTAGTTCTCTTTCCTGTTTGTCGTAGCTGTAATCTGTACTTACCGTGACAAAGTAACTTATCAGAAGGTGCATGCCACTTGCTTGAATCGGGGGTCGTGGTAGTTGAATCCAGGTTGGTGAGTAATGCAGTCTGAGTTGTCTTCATGTCCCGACACGACC